CAATCTCTGGTGAGAGTGATCCTTAGCCATCCTTTATTAAAGGGTAGTGCATCCAAGGCTTGAAGGAAACCATACAATTTCTCATTGTTTGTGCAAAATGGGTGCAAAACGTGTTACTTCTAACACGTAAGAAAATAAAAAGTGATATAGTAATTTCCTAACCTGAATTTTCTGTACTTCCTTTTCTCTCACAATGCTCTGGCGTATCACTATTTTGGCAGCACTCAGTCAGTGGTTGCTTTCTGACGACTTATGTTTCTGCTTAAGTCTTACAAAACTGCACTGTAGGCACCTCAGTAATTTTAGAATAGCTTAGTCTGAGAGGTAAATTAAAATTATGGAAAATCAGACCATTTCTAATGAGATGGTTATTACACTGAATAATGATGATTATTAGTTCTGCTTAATAAAACTGTCATCCAATGCAAAATATATATTAGGGGAAATTACATTACATTATATTTCTATCAACTCAGAAATTCGGTGTGTTGCTTTCCCACAAACCATGGGCATAACGAAATGTTAGACAGGGCTTCCTTTTCCAAATAGGATCGATCATTTTGCTTTCAGAAACAGCCCTTTAAAGCCCTGATCTAAAGCCCATTAAATCTAATGTTATGAAGATTTCTGCTGTCTTCTGTGCCATGTAGATCAGGACTTTGCTAAAATGAGCAGTGTTCTCTCCCATTGTTTCTGCTAAATACCTAGACAATACTACAGTGGTGACTATTTGACAGTATTGTTAGCCTACCAAAGGAGAAAAACTTGTAGACACACATTTGTAGCCCCCTTGCCTCACTGAGCTCATTGCTTGCTGGCACACCTGCTGTTCTGTTCTGATGTACCTGGCAAATTAGGAGATGGACTCTATAGGATGAGCTACACTCTTTATTTCCAAGGTGAAAACAACCAGGAATATTATCTATTGGCTAAAAATGAGATCCTGCTGTAAAAACCTCAACACTGAAGCCCCAGACACTTAGAGGTGAGGCAACTCCCCAGAAGCCTTTTGGCTGTCCAGAGACACGACTGGCCAGGAAATCTGAGTGCTCAGCATTTTTTTGTTTAAAAGCAGGCACAATATCAAACCTTGCCTTCAGCAAGGACTGCTGTCCTGAGGAATGAGATCCATCCCTCTGGGAGGGTGGCTCCCTGCCTCTATACTGCCACATCTATATGGCAGTAAACTGCCAAAGGGGAAGGAAGGAGGGAGGAAGCCAAGAGTGTGTTTCTGCTACCACACCTTCTCTGTGTAGGGTTTAATCTAAAAGGATATGTTTTTGTGGAATAATTTGATATAAACTAAGCCAAATTTTTCTTACAGAAATTATAGCTACAACAGTGTATTTTATAGAGTCTAAGAGAGATTAAATAAGCAGCAAAACCTGCATGACTCAATATGCATCTATGCAAACTGACCCAGTGAAACCAGGGCATGGAGGTGATTGGGTCTATCTGTGGTGCATGTTGAAACCTGGAGAAACACAGATTTTGCCATATAATTTTATTTTTTGAGAGCAGTATTGCTCTTACAAAGAGCAATGTATTAAATGAGGATAACATGGTTAATAAGTCACAGCACATGTGATTCTAAGGTTTTCATCATGCTTTGAAACATTTACTAATCAACAAGATTTCTCCTCTTGTGAAGGCTGTTTTGTAGAGTTCCATAAACCAGGTTCAACAGACGCAATTTCATTAGCATTATATTGTTGCCATGGTAATGTGGTACCAATTCAATTGATGGGCTTTTCATCCTGGGCTTATTATAGAATTGCTCTTCCTGTCAAAGATACATCTATATGGAAACAGCAAACAGACCTTATTATTGGAGTACTAGCACAAAATATCATCATATGTTAATTTGGATAGGAATGTATCACGTTATTGGCACCAGACCCAGAAATCATCAGAGACACGATAGAAGTTACTAACCATCATACATGGCAAAGTCACACTCCAAAATCAGGAAAGATACTTGTATTGTTCGCTGTAGTACCTGAGCTTGCTATTGCAAAAGCACTTGGCTCTGCTGTAATCATTCTCTGAAATGCTGTTGGGAGGGCACAGTGCAAGTGGTAATATTAGAGGAAACAAAAGTAGTAACATGCCCAAGAATAAAATGTGAGCTGATGGTATGTTGGTCCTTCTCCTGTTTGAATGTTGTGCAGCATGTTTTGGGGAAATTGGTACCACATGCAACACCCTGTTTTTCTGGGCTGTAAAACCATGATGATAAACCCTCTCCCCCTGTGCAGAGCACCTGGTGTATACCAAATAAGGAGTGATAGCTGGTACTGTTAAATATTGTTATTAAGTAGCAATGTTTTTAACAGCTCTGGGAAAATACACTGTACAGATCTACAGTTTGAGAAATGCCACTGGGAGAATCTGGATTCACCCAGGGAAACACAGGAGAGTTGGCAGACTGTGCATATGTACCTATGGAGGAAAGATACTCACATCATTAAAAATCATGACAGTTTGTAGTTTTTTAAAAATAAAGAATATTTTAGGCTACAGGAGAAGTATCTGCAGCAAGCTGAGCAAGAAGAGCAACAATACAATATAAGGCAACAGCAGGGTGGCTTGTTTATTGTATGTTAAAACATTTTCTTGTGTGTTTTCACTGTTTTTTGATGATTGCTTCTTATTTAAATAGGAAAAATCTTTTTCCATCCTGACACATAATGTTCAGTCTGTCGTTTCTTAGCTTAATCATGTTGTGTCCTTTGCAGTAGCAAGAGTAAATTACAGACAGGATAGTATTTGGTATAATCAAAGATGTGTTTCATTTTACATGATAAGTTTTGTCTGATTTACAAAGGCAGTATCTTCTCCAGCTGAGCGAGGAAAGAGAGATTTTCACTTGCAGATAAAAAAAACTCAGAGAAGAGGCTTTTCCTCCATTAGGAACCTATTGTTCATACAAAGAAAAGCCAAACTATTGTTACCACTGTTATCTATTTATTTACTTTTACCGTGATATAGCCACAGGACCCAGCTGAGACTGGGACCTACTTGTGCACAGCAAAACCATACAGCACCACAGCCCCTTCTTCAGACAATTTATAAACTAAAGAGCCATAAGAGAGACCAGAGAGGATAGAAGAATAGAGAGAGGGAGACATAGCTTAAGTAACCGACCGAAGGTCAGAGAAGAAGTGAGTGGCAGAAGCAGCACAAGTCTCTAGTCCCTGTACCCTCCGTTGGGTTGCCTGCCCTGTTGGGAGAAGGAGGTATTTGGAGATATCCTCCACCAGATTCTAAGGATTCACACTCTAACTCATGCACAGAGCCATGCTTTACCCCCTAATTTCAATGGCTGCATCTGTGTTGCTGAGCAGGGGCAGCCTGAGGCAAAGCTTGAAGTCCGCTGTGAAGCCCACCCGTATTACCTATTAAAACACCTTCAGGCTGGCTCCAGGGCAACCCTGTTAATCCTCTCAGGGACAAAGGCTCAGGGATACCCTATGTTTTTTAAACATGTTCAAGGGCACCAGGGTCAGGGTACCTGCCAGAGAAATATTAATGGGTTTCAAGACCACAACCGAAGCAATAGGGATCAGGCTTTCTTCCTCTGTGGTAGGGACTTTCAAATCCAAGCCTGAACAGATGGAGGGAGGCGGGGGAAAGAGAAGAGATTTTGGTCACAAGAGCAAGAAGTCAGTTTACACCAGAATTTGAAAGCTTTGATCAGGAAGCTATATGATGTCTTAGATTAGGAAAGCATTGGCTTGGAGTTTTTCTTGCTTTCTCCTTCTCTCTCTCCCCCTCTCAAAAATCCATATAATGTAAAACCGTTAAACTCTGGGTGAAGAGGCATTCATCTTCTGATCGGTAAATACTTCCTTTCACTGTGTGGTGCCTGCTGACTTTACTGCTGTTGCAGCCTTTTAAAATGCTTCCAGGAAATCTCATTAGATTTTAACTTTAATTTTTTTTTCATTAAGGAATCTGAAGAGAGTGTATAATAATCTCAATTTAACTTTTTAATAAAAACTGCAAATAATAGGCTAGCACAGATTTGATATCATATATATATTGGATAAAAATTCTGATTTGTAGTAAGATTTGTTAGCCAGGGGTTTGTTGTCATCATAATAATGAATATAAAAGCTGGCAGCTTTAAAATGGCAATATTACAGTAAGCCTACATTTTTTATAATGGCTTTGTGTTGTGCATTCAGTATTGATGAAGACTAAGATTTAGCACGCACAAGTAATATCCATTATTATGGGATTGTCCACAGTGAATTGAGTAGGACATTTGCTTAATTAAAAGTATTTATCTTAGATGATTTAAGAAGTATGTCCTACTACTGAACTGATGATGTAAATTAGTTTCCTATAATCAGTTCACCACTGATGACTCCTTATACTAAAGAGAAGAAGAAAAAGGTAAGAGAAGAGTCAAAAGAAAGTAAAAGATGCCACTATCTGAGAATTTAATAGAACTTTGGAAATAATGATTAATTAACAGTATGCCACGAACAGGAAATCTACATTATTACACCCCTAATGCAAAGAACTTAAACAGAGCCCTAAAAGGGTGCACTTCTAGCAGAAAGTTTGGAAATAAAAACATAAACAAATGCCCAGATTCCCACTCCTACCCACTGGAGCTGTGCCTCAGAGGCACCGGCATTTGGGGAGCAGAGCTTGAGGATATGAGGTGGTAGAGAGCCTGGGGTGGGATGAAGCCCTGTGGCATGGTGTCTTGTGGGGTCTTGGCAGGGGCTGTCCCTGGCTTTGGGCAGGATGCCAGGGAGCCGAACTACTGCAGCTGCCGAATTTGGGCAGAGTGGAGAGCAAGGCCAGAGCTACAGGGAGGGCAGGAACTGGTGTGACCTGCTTCTATGGGTGGTTTTAAATCTGTTTATAAAGACACACTGGGTAGTTTTGTAAAAATATACTGTGTGGTTTAATCTGTTATGCAAACATACTTTTAAAGGAGAGTCCCAATGGGTGGAATGTTTCAACCTATCTCAATGTTACAGCTGTACAGCCTAAGTTTCGTGGACTAGCCCATCTTCCTTCCTTCTTCACCATGCCAAATCACCCATGGAAAGCTGTAGATCTTCAGTCTGTGGGGACAATCTAACAACAGCAACTTCTGGGGGTGCTGCTACAAGGTAGGGCCACACCTAACCCTGTCAAACCATCCCATCAGCTCAGGTGTGCTGCTCACATGAAAAGCTTGTGACTCCCACTGCAGAGACCTACTAGTCTGCTTCTTGGGAAACCTCCTGCCTGCAAGGCTGCCCCCTGAGACAACTAGACCCTCCATCAGCCAGGCCCAAAAATCACTTGCTGAATAGTTTTGGCTGAGGTTTTTTGACAAAATCTTCACAGATAGAGCCAAGAGGACAGGCAAGAAATATTTCTGTTCTTCATGCCACAACTTGTTTTTTCATTATTTCTTCTTGTCTCCTTTTACACTCCAGGCATTTTTTCTTTCTACATAGGCTAATAGGAAGAAAGGCTGTGCCCTACTCCAGTCATTTAAGTAATTTTTTTTAGTTCTAATTATGAGCATTCACATAGCAAGTGACATTTATTGATATATGTTACCTTTCTGAAACACTAGAAAAGTATCTGGCCTGTTCTCTGCTAATGCTTAGATGACATTTTAGGAACAGGAACCACCCTGCAAAGGGCTGGGCATGTGCACAGGACAGGAGCTGTCAGTGAAGTGTGTTGAATCTGGTTTTGATCTGTTCATGTAATTTTCCAGGTGAGCCTTGGACTCTGCCTACGGTCTGTGCTCCCAGATGTCAGCCTATGACAGCAGATGGAGGGACGCCCGGAGCTCTGCTTCCCCCAGGCACTGCACTGGGCATTTGCTGCTCCCAGAGCTGCCGCACGCCATGGGACTCCCAGCTGCCGGATGCCTGACCCAGCTCGACTGCTGGTGGAGATGTGTTGGGGCTGGCTTTGCCCTGCTTGCTGCTGCCTGCATGCCTTATTCTTCTGACTTATGCCCCAGCCCATTCCCATCCCATTGTGCTGCTGCCTCTGGGCTGTATTGAGTTTTCAATTATCACAATATACAATGCAGATGCTATGTAAAACAGCCAGCATCGCTGGAGCACGCTGAACTCAGTAGAAACACAGTTAAATAAAAGTAATACTATAATACCAGGAGGCTGATTGGAACCACAAGATACCAGTGTCATATCCTGTGGCTTTTATGTTGGTAGACGTAGATTTTAGCCATTAGAGTCTAGCTATCCAACAGATAACAACCAGAGGAAATGGGTCTGGGTATCTTCAATTGTGAATAACTGATACACATTTGCCAATAAATGGAGGACTTGGTAAACTGCCAGATGAAGAAAACATTTGACGTACATACAAATATAATCAAGCATTTAATATGGTGTAGCATCTAACTATGTGTAACTTAAAGAAACTCCCTGATTACACACAAGAGAGCTCTGACTTCAGACAAGCAATGTGTGGTTGCACTGTCAACTCCAAATTCAGGCAAGGAGATAAACAGCAAGTGTGGATCTCAACTTATATATTTGTACCAGCAGCAACAACCTCCCAGATGACAATGATATTGTAATATCTATGTGGGTGTAAAATGCTATGACAAAAGAGGAAGAAATAAGAAAAAATACAGTAATGTCAAGTTTGCCTGTTAACTTTTACAGAAGCTCAGCATCTGGAATTTTAGTATGTGTTATGCAGACAAATGTAAAGAGAGAAACGCATTAACTGTGTTTTTCTCCAAAGCAAAATGAAATAAGCATTCAGAGCAAATTATTATATTTAGTACTCTCAGGGCAAATTCTAGTTGAGGATTGTGAAGTAATTTCAAAATATTAATGAATTAGCCTCACAGCTATCTTTCAGGTAGATAATAATGATAATTGTTACTACAAATAAATATTATTATTATCAGTCTTGCTCCAAGAAATGAACATTGATGCATAGAGAATTTATGTCTTTGTTTTACTACTGTAACCATCCTTCTCTAGAACTATTATATATTAAGATTATCCTTTTCCAAATACTGTGTGTGATACTATTCACTTTATAAGGTCTAAAAACCAGCCAACTGAGCTTCCTTGTGAAACAGTGCCAGTGAACATCTCCATTTGCATTTGAATTCTCAAGCAGCAACAATCTTGCTTTAAAAAAAAAAAAAAAAGAAGAAAAAAGGAATCATGAAAATCCGTACAAAATCTGTCAAGGCCCCATCTGTGACTGGGTATCAGAATATCACTAAGAAGCTCTAAGAAACAAAGTTCATTCCAAGTCTAACGCATAGTGCTTTTCGGTCGATGAAATTAATTCAAGCAGGGGTAAATGAGGGCACATACCATGAAAAACTGTTCCTCCACTGAGGGTGGAAGGAAAGCAGCATCACTGCTGTGTGTGTGGTCTTAGTTTGGTGCATGTAGCCATGTTTAAATACTAAAGGTTTTACAAGGCAAAATAATCAGTGTGCTCATGACTCCCTTTGATAGCCAGGTACACCTGCTGCTCTTCTGAGGAGTATAATTGATCTCTGGTCCTGACAAGATGAGGACTTAGATTACATATGATTGTTGCAAAAAGCAGGCTTTCATAGCCAGCTACCTGAAGAAGTACAGAAACAAAACTCCACCCTGGCCTTGAAAATCGCCTACAAACATATTTATTTCCTTCTGAATGGGAATATATAAAGGTTAGGGACACTTATTTGTAGGCTATTTATACATCTCCTCTTCAGGATCTGAATCTCGCATATTAATGAATTAACTCCGGGAAACAGGAGAACCAAAACATTAACACCATTCTAATGCACCCTATTATTTTTCTTTTCCTTTTTTTAACCGTTAGAGTATGCAAATGTTCAGTTAACTGGTCCTCATGTTTTCTCTTTATTGAATCGCTTTCACTACAGCAAATAAATATTCATAAAGAAATGTGGACAATAAATCATTTCAAATAGTTCAAAGCCATTTTCTTTCTAGACTGCATATATTTTCAGCTGTAACTCGCCTTCAATATTTCATTCAAAAGACAGACTTGTAGAAGGACAATAGAGATAATGTGTCAAGTAGTAATTAAAACAGGGAGTAATGATTAAAACCATTTTGATCTACATTGTGCTCTGCCAGATTCATAATCTCCTGTGTTTGTTAGGATGGCTTTCTACTTGCTTTCTACTTTCTCTACTTTAGAAACTCAAAATAAACTTCTGTTTGAAGACATCGAAGAAAACAAAAGATTTCAACCCTGAGCTTGTGGGTCCAGAGCCCTTTCCAGTTCTGGAGTTTAGGTATATCTTCTGTACCATCCTAGCAAGATAAATGCAAGCAGGCACTATCCCTCCTGCTGATACTGGGAAGTATCACTACTTCTCTGGGAAATAAATCCAGATGCAGAGCAGAAGACAAGGAAGGGCCACCCGTGTGTACAGGTAAATGTAACCCGTCTCACCATTTAGATTTAAGCTAAGAGCTTCAAAAGAAATGAAAGTTAAAGATAAGGTTAGCTTATACGTTTAGGGATCTTGGTTCAAATCCAAGTAAGAATTGTGTTCCTTGTCTCGTATGTTTTGGTATTCATAAACATATTTGGCACAAACTCATTCTCTTTTCTGATTTGTTGCTGACTTTAGGCCCTTATTCAACTTACATACAGACTTAAATAAATCGATTTAGGAAAGCATTCCTCTTTGTGTTTAATCTTGGGCAGACATTCAACTTTGAAATCACTGGGACTTATGAATGGCCCTGACCTTTGGGTCTAAATGGTTGCCAAAACAGTGCACTGATAGAAATATATTGGAAAAGATACTATCCATGTGTAATCAAAATTTTAGTCTCTACTTTCACAGGAAAATAACCCAAAGATAACACATTATTCTGCTCAAGAAATTAATTTCATAGTATTTACTAGAAAGCCTTAATTCACATTTTCTGTTTATGCCAAAAATACCAGATGAACAGTGTTGTTCCTTGATAGCATATCTGTAATATTCTTTAAATGAAAAAATAAAATATAGGAAAAGTCCTGGCACAAAGTGGCATTCAGAATTACTTATTGATACCTTCTCAATTGCCCACCACAAGGCAATCCCTTGGAGGACAGGCAGATGAAAGGCAAGCAGAGTAGTTCTGAAATCCCATGGACTTGAAGACAATGGCATATGGAATACCACATGAAACTCCTCCCTAAGAACAGCATTTATAAAGACTGCCTGCCCAGTTTACATATGGAATTTTGAGTGATCACATGTCTTTATTACACAATGAGAATAGCTAGAATAAAGACATGGATGTTTATGGTATCATAATGTACAGGTTAAACAAGTGCAATTATAGCCAAATCTATGAGATTACAAGAAGTAGTTGGTAAAATAATTGATGCTATGATTCTATGAAATAAAATAGTCTTCTTATTGTTCTTAAAAATGTTTCACACTTATGTTTTATTTATAATATTATGAAGATAGCACATAGAAACTCTCAGATATTGTTTATAGAGTTGAAACATGGACACAAAAGGGGAAGTAGATTATGATGGGTCCCATGATGTCATGTAATTCAAAGAATGACGAGTACAAAAATCATAAGAAAACACAGGAAATGTCAATAGGTGCTACCCCTCTGTACAACCATAGAGGAACACTGCGATTCACATTATCCCACTGGGTTCTGCGGGGCAAAGTTTGGGAATAACACATAAAATCCAGCTGTTTAGTGTTCACCTGGCTCATACAATCACACGTATCTATCCTAATGCTGCCTACACTTGCTTTAGAGGTGACAAATAAGGATTATGCCGCTGCTGTATTGGACGCACATTGCATGCAAGCTCTGCATTGCCTGCAAGCCTCTGAACCAAAGTCCCTTTGATCAAAGGACAGATTGTAAGGGGAAAACACAGTCCTCCTGTATAACTCTCAAATTACATTAAAAAAAAAAATAAAAAAAATCTCTGAAGCTCCCTTTTCTGACATGTCATCTACTGTGCCCCAGCAGAGGATGTTAGAGCAGATCTGAAGTACCAGTTACTGCCTCTGAGAGGCATTTCCATATATAGTCACGAATTGGAGCTCAAATTGCTCATTGAAATCATCTGCCCTCAATGAAATCAATTAGTGCCTAGCAGGAGTGAAAGGCTTATAGAGCTCAAGGTGAGCAGGAACAGACCCTTGTTGGATGAAAGGCTTTTTCCAACATGAAGAGAGGGGTCTCTTCAATCAAGTCTAGTTTCTGCTGAAATCTTACTGGTATAGAGACCTTAATTCCAGAGGTATGTTTTGCAACTGATTTGAAGAGTTTGGGATTTCACTTTTTTCAACTTTCCTGATACCTTTGATTAGAGCATAGTAATGGTTTTTCTATGGTGCGTGTAACATAGAGGTCACAGGAAAAAAAAGTTCCCCCTCTCACTTCACTAGTCTTTACAGTGTTATATCTTTTGAGGAACTAGAAAAAAAGTTACCTGCTCTGCTTTTGTAGCAAACATCATCCTCCTATGCCTAATCCTCTTGTCACAGTTTTTCTCTTTTTTAACTAATTAAGATTATTATTTGTATCTGAAAATCCCTTAGATGAGTCTGCCTTTTGGATTTATTTTTTTGGTTCTGCTTCTAATGTTGGGTCAAATTATGAATTTTAATTGATTTGGACTGGTTTTGTCAGAGACAGGCAGACTTTCAACTGGCGAACTGCTAGATGCTTAATGTCCTAATCACTTTAGCGTTCCTCATTATCCTCTTTTACTTAAGAAAAGACTAGTTCACTCTTTTTTGAATATGTAATAATAAGAAACATGCCAAGGCATGCTAATCACAAGGAAGAATGTCCTACAGATGCTCAATTTCATATGCTTTTAGCAACAGCATAGCACATATTATTGTAGTTCCCTAGGGAGCAAAAGAAGTTCATTGTGTGTTGCACTATGTTAACTTCATGCCCTGGTGTAGTACTCAAGCTAATGTGGGGAGAAATGTAACATAGACTAGAGTAACTTAATATGGAAGAAATACTTCTCAGTGCTCATCCAAAGAAATGGGGAAAGAAAAAATTTCCCACTAGTAGCATACTTTGTTTTTTCCATGTTTACCTGGAAACTGTGAAACCACCTGAGATAAAGTGGGTGGAAAGGACAAGTATGCACCTTGCATTGCTGTTTGATTGATTTCATTACATTCAAAGCATCTTTATCAGAAGGATGTTTGTTTGTGAGCTTTTTGGTTTTTTCTTTTTTTTTAATATATTTTCCAGTCCTTTGGTTTTCTCCAAACAGGATGATAATTCTAACTTATAGCAGATGTAGTCCATCTCTTAAGACTCAGGATCAATCAGAGAGAAGGTGACAGTTCTCCTTAACATCTTAAAATTTACTTTGGCTTAAAAGGCTGTTTTGTGTCCTGCAGACCCATTATTTACTAATATAAATGCTGCAAAAGCAGTCATAATCTGCTTGAAAATTAACAAAACTAGATTGACTTTATACTCAAAAATAAACTGTTCACAAAGGAATAAGTAAAAAAAGACTCCTGATGCTTTGACAGAGTTAAAAGCAAAAGTTCCACATGGAATATAGGCAAGGGAGAAAAGAGGATGAAAAACAGGTGGTAGAATGGAGAGAAGGGAAGGGGATAACAAAACAAGAGGAAAAGTGTATTTAAGGCAAAAGCTTATACCAAAGAAGCACGTGCAGCCCTGGGTGTATGCTTGTGGCACTTCAAAAAAGTTATGACTAAAAAAACCCCAAACTCTACTATTGCGTGTATATTGATAACAGAGTGGTATCTGTATTGTAGCAACTTCAGATGGCCATTTATTTCAGTAGGAATCAAGGTGTTGCATACTAAAACTTGGCCTAAATAGACTCATATTTTGAGTACTTTTCTTTGCTCTTTGTATTGGTATGGTAGAAAAGCAACCATTAGCTTAGCTAGCCGTCTGCAAGCTGCTGTGGAGTAGTACAACTGAGCCCTAACACAGTTGAGAATCTGGACCTAAATGTTCCCTTAAAATAACTGGCACATGAACAGTCTGGTTTGCCTTTCAAGTTGGCAGTAGTTAATTGAGGAAGACTTTAATCAATACTTCATGTGGTTTAAACCTGATGCAACCAAGTAGCCTGCTTCTGAGACACTTTACAACAGAGGTTTGCAATCTTCCTAGGACTCAATGGCATTTTGATGAATAATATTT